TTCCATATTGAATAGCGGATAAGCATCTAGATTAGTACCTATACTTTTTAATAGTTAGGAAATAGTCAATGCAGTCTTGTGACTTTCATTGTTAATAACGAAAACTTGAACTCTTACACTATCTGATAGTAGTTTTTTATTTCTGTTTCAATGGATATGACATCATCGACAGAAAAACGTCTAGATTTGGTAGCAATAGGTTTGCACAAATAAATGAGGAATCAAAGATACTGGCGGTAGTGAAGCCATTGCTACTCGGCATATTTCTAATAGCTGTTCCGGTCTACCGAAATTAAATTCTACTTTAAAATGTTGACTAATATATTTTAATATTTTACTATTAACAAATTAACATATTTATATTCATAACCTCCTAATACATCGCCCCTTAACACATTTTTAAAGGATAGGGTGACAAACGAGCACACAGTCCACCTAATGGTAAGTGTTTGCTGTGACCCATAGACATCTACATTTATCTTTACGCTGGTATTCTGTGAGAGCGTGGTCCTTCCCCGGTCGAGCCGAACCATTCGTGCTACAACTATACTACTAATAGAGCTGCAGCATGGCTCTACCACGTTGTCTAAAAATGTGCGGTTTATGTAACTTCTAAAACTAACCGAATCAATAAGAAGTTGTGCATTCATTCAATCAACTGTTGGATTAACTATTGATTGTAGATGGCTAAGGTGACCAATTTTACCACAAATCGTGAGGTTTGCAGAATTTTTCACGACGGTGAAGTAAAATTATGAAAAATTAAAAGTACTAGTTTAGCCTCCCTTTCCAAGTGACTGCAGAACTGTACGTCTCTCAATAATCAATATGTCGACGCTGAAGCCGATGCTGGCCAAGGCAACAAGGGGATTGCCCTAAAATTGAAGAGATACAACAAAGGAATTCTTTTTATCGATTGATGCTAATGGATAAAGGACTAGATTTAACGCCCCTAGACTAAGACTTTGCTTAACAAAGACTTGATTTCAGATTTTCAGACACAAGTGTGCTCAGGCACTCTACGACCTGTGAAATATTAATACAGTCAGTTTATAAAACTTCACCAGTGCTGTCATCTGCACAACAATGAATGTTACTACTTTCCAAAATAATATCATTGATTTTGTGACGGCTCATTATTATTATTAATAAATAATAATTAAATTCAATAAAGAGCCATTTTAAATATCATATATATAATAATTTGAGCAATTAATATGCGTTAATAAGCATAAAGTTTAAATATATTAATTTAGAATATTAAGTATTATAGTATAGTAAACTGTGCTTAAATATTCAAAACGGAATAAATAATAGAAGTACAAGACTTAGATTGCAATAATAAAAATAAATAAATAACATAATATGTAATAAATTTGAAAAATAGGTCAAAAAATTTCCAAGTTAATGAGGATGTTCTTCTATTACTGGAAGGTGTTCATGTAATGATTGCTTATAAGAAGGAGTTGTCGGAGATAGATACACATGGTTGTACATACATACATATGGGCTGGTCGGCTGACCGACTGCTTCTAGTACTGTTGCAGTAAGATCTATGATACAAAAGAATTAATATAGAAGGTCTCTATGATGTATAAGCATTATGATAGCAGAGTTATGACTTGAAGTCCCATATGTATAAGACATATAATAGTAAGGTCTATGTAATAAAGCAAATATGTGGAAGGTCTCAAATATGTAAAAGCATTATAGGTATTGGAAGAAATGGGACTTGAAAAGAATTTTATACTGACGTGTAGATTGCATCACAGCGTCCGAGATCTAGGTAAACTTGGACTCGCTAACCGATGTGTCCTAGACATATCATCTTAGTGTCGGTGGTAAGCGGGTTTGTTGTAGCTATACGACTTACCCGTGGACATCGCACACCGTTACCGTTTGTGGGCGGCGACTTATCGCATAGCGTTATAGGCCTCGTCCTAATACAACGCGATTACGCGAATATATTTTCAAACAATTAAGTCGCGCGACCCCATCGCGCTAATATCAATTAGGACACCTATTCGATATCAGTATGTTTGATCGCGTGTTCGTACGAGTAAAATTCGCGCATAACTTGCGACGATCGCGCATTCGCGTTGTATTTAGACGACGACTTGTGATACGTCAGCTATCTTTCGGATTAGGTTGAGTGTGTTTGGTAGTACTTTTAAGTGTAGCAAGCATACTCAACTCCATGTCTTAGTGCAATAGCGTTATGATACGTGGAGTTTTGGCTACTGACGTCTTAGTAGCGTGCTACTAGGATACGTTGATGGTATTTTTAGTTAACAATAGTACCGATTTTGTTACCAAAGTCGATAGGAATCATGTGGATGTGTTGTGAGGGGGCGCCATCCGTATGATAGTTGCATTGATGCTTACTGCTACTTGCGGTATTGCATCTTGTGATGGATCTGTAGGTGTGCTGCGCCTGATTCGACGCATCTTGTGCTTCTGGTCGATAGAGGTATGCGGGTAGTGATGTCTGCTGAGATTTTATGGGAGACCTTGGGATGGTGTAAGCCCGACGATAGCCGTATTGATGCTTGTTACGTTCTGAAGTATTGCGTCTCTGCGATGGGTGTTTTGCGGGTCGCTATTCTCAATGGCGCTCTCTGCGTGTTGGTTTGACTCACAACCTTAGTAGCTTTGCCCAAGATGGGTCCCTTCAAAACGGAGCTGCAGAATGTCTGACCTCATACATATCAACAACATAATAATATATCTCCATAAATTTCCCACATTTGAATGATTGAACGCAACCTGTTGGTGGGCAAGACAAACATGATCGAAAAATGCATATACTCAACGTCAGTGACGCAAACCCTTTCTGCCTATTAGCTATATCTGCCATTGTATTGGTTGGTGGAGCATATGTATCGACCTCATGCGGATGGTAACTGAAGCGAGAATCTGCGGCCGAAAGCCACGCAACGTGGGACCCCATTCCCTTGAGGTGAGCAGTAATTAGCCGTGCTGATCATGCAATTGGTGGTAATGCCTTACGCTTACATTACGTCTTCAGGAACAGCCATCTGGCAGGTGGTGGTGCTCACGGAGGGATTTTATTACCAGTGTGCCTATTGTTGCCTAATACGTGTGACGTACATTCACTGTGGCTGGATTTGATCATATTCTGTATGGCGTTTACACGCACTGACATGCGCGACTTCGGACGATGTTTGTGCTTACGCACTACCAATGGTCCAAGCCCTCTTTTACTAGTTCGCCAGTTATTTTGCTGTGAACCTCGGTCCAGTTCTAAACTTAACGTCCCCTTAGGGGGAAGCGCATTGGTTGGATGGTGCTCAACACTCACGGCGTGTGTGGAGCCGTTTGCCTCCCCCACATTTTTTTTTAAATATGAGAGAGCGAAGCCCTTGTATCTGGTATTCGATATAAATATTATGAGCCTTTTTCAAGCGGAAAGGGATTAATTAATAAGGAATTGACTAATGTGAACCTGATATACAAGTGGAATAAGAACGATTTAATGTTCTTAACCTTTTTTAGAGCCCTGTCTTCGTGTACGGGGTTCTTTAGCTTATAAGGCATTACCAACAGCTTTCGACTGCACTAGTGAATATTCGTTCTTCCAAGAGACACCTAAAAGAACTAAGTTACTATACAAACACAACGTAACTAAGGGTCCTAATAAGACGATCACGCCATAAATTTATTAAGCGGCCTATATTTACACCTTTAGGAAGATCAATATATGGTTAATATACTGGTCACGTAAATTTGATATATGTACTTTTATATACCTATATTATAGATATAGATTCTAAACGAATAAAGAGTTGAGGGGGAGTGTTACAATATGGCTTGGAGTCGTAGCATGCACCGTCTACTACGAACTTGATGTTCCGATCTGCAAGGAAATTGTTGAACCAATTCTCGGGAAACCCATGTGAAGATAGCTTCGAAATATGCTCTCTGTGTCAAAGCCGATTGAAGGTTTTCGCCGTGTTCAAGCTAGTTTTCCACTCTGTACTCGACTCCGCCCATCGGTGATTTAGATAGACAACAAGATCACCAGCTAAGCAACCTCGACGGAAACCGTATTGGCAGTCACTAATCAGCTGATGCATTAACCTCAGGAGCTTAATGCATCAGCGTGGTACATTAACGTGGTAAAGCCATGCTGCAGCTATATTTCTGGTATACATGTAACACGAATGGGTCGGCCTGACCGGGGAAGGACCACACTCTCACAGAATACCAGCGTAAAATAGCAGCTTAATGCTGCTGTGTTTCGTATGGTGAGTGTAGAGAACCAGAGACCCTTTTTACTAGAAACGAGGCATTCCAACTTAGTCCTCACGGGTGACAACGCATCTGCATTTTGGTTCGTAATCGAGGATAAATGTAGATGTCTAATATATGTATAAAGTTAATAATATACTATGAAGGATAATTATTATAATATATTGTAACTTCAGGCTCAGAAGGGCTAGATCCCAGAGCCGTAAAGCCAGTTATTAAGAAGAAGAAGAAGAGTGCCAGCTGGATTTTTGGCGGGAACTTGACTTGCAGCCGATTGTTGCTCCTATATTACTCATTAAATAATGGTTTGAAGTGAATTTTGATATGTAGAAGTGGTGTGATTTTGTGTATTAAATGTCTACGCATGTGAACTATTTGTGGAAACAGTGAAACAAATGCTCCGAGGGTGATGTGATAGATAAGATTAGACACCTTAGGCACCTTAAGATACTATCACCAAATGCTGATTCAAGTTATCGTTAAAATCTCACAAAAACTACGCAAAGTAACACATCAACATATTGTGTAGCAGATTCTTATCACTTGATACTGGATATCTTAAAAGACAAGCAGCCAAGCCAAAATTCTTAATAAATAAGTGTCAGCTCAGCTGTCATTTGTCAGTGTCACTCAATATCAATATCAAGAAGAGATAAGTTGTTATTGTTTTGGATTGTGCATTGCATTAAATTGCAGAGAAACTAATCTTAATAAGCAAGAATATAAAAATGGAAAAGGATTTGGATAAAGTAGTAGATGAAATTATGGCAACGCCTAATGTAAGTGGATGTTTAGTCGCAGACCATCAGGGGCTTTGTTTAGCAGCAAAAGGAACGGCACATGTAGACTCGGCTGGAATAATAGTGGCAATTTCAGAGCAAGCTTGTAAAATACAGCCAAACTTAAAGCCACCTACCGTATGTTTAGAGGCTGATAAAAAGCTTTGTTTAATACAAAGACACGGCACAATAACTGGAGCTATTTACAAACAAAAAACAGAGATGAAGTTTTAATGATATTTTATACTACAAGAACTCTTAATATAAAACGTAATATTCACTAAATTGAGAAATTGTAAAGCTAACTGCATGCTGTAAAAATCCTTCTTTGTAACTTTTAATTATTGTATTATACTTTGGTCAGTATATTTCAGCGTTTTTATAGTTGCAGTATTTACGTTTAAATGTAATGTATTGTTGGAAACTTAATTTTAAATGTTGAATAATATATATTTTCTTTATATAAAATATAATCATTATTTTATACATAAGTATTTGACCCAACACTTAGGACTGTCAGCTCAAGCTATGATTTCCACAAGGAGTGAACAATAATTTAACTCAAATGCTATTAGAGTGAGATATTCTTTTTACATTTTGTGGCAGTGCTTAAGTATAGTCACTCATTTATTATAGCCCATTAAAAGTCCACTGTCGAACATTGTCTAATACCTAATCTATACATCTATACAAATATATAAAATTGAAGTGTCTGTTTGTAATGTCAAAATAACAGCTTTTCACTAAATGCATATGAAAGTACATACGGTACTTATAACAAACACACATTTTTTTTATTATGGCTAATCCACAAAACGCCTGGACCGATTTTGACAGGACTTTCACTGGCAGATAGCTAATGTTATAAGGAGTAACTTAGGCTACTTTTATATTAGAAAAGGAATTAGGGTTCCACAAAAAAAAAACCATAAAACCCAATCATAATAAATTCCATGTGGGCGAAGTTGTGGAGAACAGCTAGTACATAATAATAGCGTAGGTTATTTGGAATAGTTACCATGCTTGCAGTTGAACACTGCAGTTTTTTTTTTAATTATTTTCAGTTATCAGGAAGATGCTGCTCCTGTTTCATTTCCCTCTGTTGTTCTTACAATTTTTCAATCACTTGAGTCTCTGGAAATACTAATAATTCAATTTCATATAGAATACTTTATTGAGGAGTGGCATATTATGTTCTTTACAATCAAAGTTTTGGCTAGTTCTATACTATATCTAAATTTATTTGTAAATAGCATTTGAATTATAATACTTTTTGTGAAAAAAATATACTGTTAAACTTGTGTCACAATTTATAAGTATTTCAAACATATTTGCTTCTATATGGATAATTACTAAAAAGAAGAAATAAACAAATACTTTAAATATATTTTATAAAGTTTAATTTCTATTTTCAATGAACTTGAAACACATTTTTTATAGTTCTGGAGCCAGGAAATCAATGAATTTATTTAAGTAGTCCCTTACCTTTAGAGGCAATAGCACTTTACCACATCTGAACCTACTAGTTGTCTTTATGTGGAAATCCTCCGCAGTAGAATCAGAGCCATGATAACTCAATGGATCAATAGTGGCAATGAGTTGGCCATATAGTTCAAATGACCAATAGCCGTCACATCTAATTCAATTGTGTCAAACACAGCTTGTTTAATCTTCAAGAAATGGACAGTGGAGAAGCTGATGATGATGATAATATATTATCATTGCAATCCCAGATGCAGATATTAAAATATGAATTGGTTGTCAACCTGTATATGTTAAGCTATTATAGCAAATATCCCCCTATGATGCAATCTCTGAGCAGCATAAGATTTGTGACAAGCTGTAATAAATTAATAAGAGAATAACAATAATATGTTCTACTGAGCACAGGTCTCTTATTTCTGAGAGGATTACAGAGCAATTAGCCCTCTCCAATGTGTTGACAGATTAAATTTGTGATTCTTTGTCTGTCAGACATTTGTAAACTTTTTAAAAACATTATGGTAGGTTTTGTACAAGTTGAGTTCAAATAAGTGAACAGCTACTCTAGTATAATGGTTGTCAACTATGACAACCTATCTATTTATTTATTTTAACCAAACAATCCAGATCTAGACGACCCGTGTGAAGTAATCAAAATCGGTCCAGCCATTTTCGAGTTTTAGCGAAACTGACAGCAATTGATTTTTATGTAGAGATTATTTAGAATACAAACTGAAAATTTTACATAGTTAAGTAAGGCTCTCTGAAAAATCAATACAAACAACTGAGATGTGCATAACATACATAAGCAAATATATTCAATGTTATAATTTCCCCTTTTTCGAAGTCAGTTAGAAATAGGGTTGAAAATGAAAACAAAAATAATACTACCAAAGTATTAGGTAAGTATATTTCTTGTAATATCAAAGTTTATATTACATAGTTTACACATAATACTTAGCACCTACATAATGTTAATTTGGTGTGTTATAATTTGTATCATTTTTTTTTTTCAATTAACTCCATCAAGAGATGTTAAATGGAATTGACAGTCAGTAAAGCAAAATTAATTTTGGTTGTGTTAACAATTTTTACAGAAATATTTTTTTAATAATAGAAATTATTTAGAAAAAGCATAAAGTTGCTCTCTCTATCTCTCTTTCTTTTCACTAAATGTCAATAGAAAGAGACAATTAATACTTAAGTAAGTGATAATCAACAATATTAAGGATGTAAGAATTGTTAATTGATATATCTGTAGTGTAACATAATATTTCTATTCAATAGTATACAAGTGCTGCATGTTTTTTACTTTCTTAAATAGGTATGTTAACATGTTTATCTATTTTGTCCAAAACAAACTTTAATTAAAGTGCACTAAAAGTCAAATTAATAAGTTTTTATTTACTTATCACCTTATTTTCTGTTAAAGCCTATCAAAACTCCGCCGCTGAACATAAGTCTCCCCTTAGAATGCCATATTTGCCATAGTCACCACACTTGGCAGGCGGGTTGGCAACAGCAGTTTACTATGTTTCAGTTGCTAATAGAAAGACACAGCTGCCCATCTTATTTGTTAGCGTCTGTCGCCTCTTACTGACACCTACGACGATGCATAATTTTTATAATGAAACAGAGAGTTTAAAACAGTCTGAAGTCACCACACAATACAGAGCAGTACCTGTAATGATTTTTGTTACAAGAGTAAGTTTGGGTTGAATAATTTTGTATGTGGGTGATGTAAGGTTAATTGGTACTTAACGGCCTAAGCCCATTCCATCCCGTGGCTGTCGTAAGAGGCAATAAAGGGAAATGAAACAGGATATGGGCAGCAGCATCTTCCTAATAACAATTCAAAATAAAAGAAAACTGAGTTTGAGAGCCCACAAATGTAAGGCCCTATGAGGCAATCTATGGGGGAGGTCTATATTCAGCAATGGATTTTTTATTCCCTATATGAATAAATGAGAAAAATAACAAATAACTTTTAACTTGTTTATTTATTCTTGTATTATTAGATTTGCCGTAATTCACTGAGTTTCACTCCAATAAATAAACGCTTCAATCAAACTAAAGTTCTTACCAATTAAACCTTAACAGTTTCCCTGTCCGCGCAACACACACAATAGTTAAACAATTGCAATGTTCACATATGATTCATGGGACAGAGAAAGGGTTAAAAAATTAAGTTTTATGAAGAATTCCAACAATATGCATAGTCAATAACTTTTGCTATAGTTATTGGAATCAGTCTTTATACATAGATTATATGAAAAATATGTCAAATTTACGCCTATTACTTAACAAAAACTAACATAATATAGCAAAACCTTTGTTTCGCATAAAATTGAAGGCAGTCGAAATTAGCGCTTTGTTACATAACGCAAGCACATAAAACATAAAATTCAAAGAGTACACGTTTTCAGTTACATGTCATATCATAAATATCGCAAGTGACACGGTTTGTGAGCGCTTCCTAAGCCTCAACGGGTGCAGTAAATACTAAATAGATATACTTGGGATGATATGAAAGGCGGATGCGACGACAATGTTGCCGCTTCCCGATTGGTTCCTTGTTTTACCTATAAACTGTGATTGGTGCAAGTACTATACAATAAACACATTCACTAATTTCCAAATTGAAATTCGTCCAACAAAATTGTTCATCGCTAAAGAAAAGCCGTGCCGGCTTCTTTGCATAATCCATCCATATGCTATTAGCATTATATAAAAATTAAAAAAAAAACAGTCCCCTCAAACTTGTAAAAAAGAAACTAAAACTAATTATGTTACTGTAACCGGTGTTGATCAATTATAAACGAAAATAGGACACTGTTAATTAACCATACATCTATATTCTATTTTATTAATTAAACAAATTTACTTTTCTGACTAAAACTAAAAAGCACTAAATTTAATACAATGACACATTAATAAACTGAAATTATGACATTATAAAAATACAATCTAGGATTCTCAGACTAACAAAGAAAGATATACAGTAGTGTTCTATCTGTCTGTGCTGTACATATAGTGGCGATGTAGGAATATCCACTATACCAAATTTTCCAGGCACACAGACAGACAGAGGGAAACTAACCAGGAGATGGGCTGCCCATGTGGTTTAATTTCGTGCTCCTCTTTTTAACATCGGACAACCAAACATTTGGTGGGTCACCACCACTTTGTTATTGATATTCCACATGTTCGAACATGATTTGCTTCGTCTTTCGTAATGCGAAAAGCAAAGGAGATTGCAATTTGCCGACAAGAAGGAATAATTAGGCTAAATTTAACTTAATATTTTAAAAAGAAATTCAACTCTGTAAGACTCTATATCTATGAAAAGCATTATCATAACATTAATAATTACAGTGTAGTGGCGGTGTATGCACTACCCCATATCATCCCGTGGGTGTCGTAAGAGGCGACAGAGGGAAACAAATCAGAAGATGGGCAGTAGCGACTTCCTGATAACGACTAAAAATAAAAAAAACTGCTGGTGCAACAAACCCGTCTGCCAAGCATGACTGTGAAAAATATTACCGATGGTATACGGCATATCAGTGGTGGGTATATTCAATTGTCTAGTGTACTCAGTTGATAGGTGAGGACGTTCGAGCGCCAACAGTGGTGGGGTACGGACGTATTCGACGTTTTGAACTAATCATCATCATCATCATCATTACAGCCCTTCACAAGTCTTCCAAGGAACCTACACTTCGACCGCCGGTACGAGGACACCACGCGAGAACATTTTTCCCCATCGGTTGTCGGTTCTTCGAACTATATGGCCGGCCCATTGCCACTTCAGCTTACTAACCTGTTTGATATTTTATTACTTTTGAACTAACATTAAACATAAATTGTTGAAGTATTCGATAGTAATCGATAGTTTCTTATAAGACAATCGATATATCGATAGACTATCGATTGTCTTTGAGCAGGTATCACAAATAATAATAACAATAAGTAATTATTGCACTTTTTGTTTGCTCGTCTTTGAGAAATACGCAATTTGTCACTGGCTAGTGTAGAACTGTGAAGGAAATCACACAATAGGATTTGTCTTCATCAACTGATTTTTATTACCTAAAATAATTTTTAAAAGAACTACTAGATTTTTTTGGTTGCGATTCTAACCTATCTATTTTATCGGCATGTTTTCTTTTCAAGTGATCTTTTAGATTGGTCGTATTTCCAAAATAATTTCTTGATTATAAAAGTTACACATTACAAACGGACTATTATTGTCCACTATCTAGAAATAACTCCACCTTAATGATTGATTTTTAGGATAAATTTTCGATTCACTAAGAAGCCAAATACAAAACAAATCAGTAAACCATAAAACGCAAGATCAATCGCCCGTTCTAGCACTCGCACAAATAGTGACTTACGTCAGCGTCACACATATTAATTAGCTATTCACACACAGTTTATTTACAGGGATTTCTCTGGCCTTAGACTAAAGGGAGACATTTACTATAGACAAAAATTACGAAAAGGATGGCAATCGATAGTTTAACCAGACTATCGATTATTCGATAGTCTATCGATGTTTAAGGAACACTACAGTAAAGCAAAAATTCAGCAGGGGACTTTTTGTAGGCTGTAACAATAATGTCTATCTTTCTTTGATAGTCTGAACAAGGATAAGGTTAATTTTACAGCTTATATCACCATTTATAGTGGCAGTCCGTTTTATAATTAGTATTTATAACACTTACTATAAATCTTATCTTTTACAACTTTTAACATTAATATAATAATCACTTTTTATTACTTATAAATCAGCCTGTGTTACTGAGGTATAGTCAAGGCAATCACACATAAATTTTACACAACGATTCGTATTATGGTTACTGTATAAAATAATACATACCTACATAAGCAATGACGGCGCTAGTTAGGTAGACAATAACATTTATAGACAATTTATTGTATTAATTGAAAAAAAGAAACAATTTTTGAACGTAAATTTTATTTGTGAGTTTTTGGGGTCAATATGGTATTGACTTATGTCAATCTGTTTTAACTTATGATCAGCTTGAGGAAAGATTTCTCACATCTGTAAATACTATGAATATGCCCAACAATTCAACAACTAACTAATTTCCAATTAAAATACAAACAAAATGGCTGTTGCTGCAATACGCATGTCAAAAAAAATTTTTTTTTGATCTATCGAAAAGCTTTAATATCGTAACTTTGAAGATTAACGGACAGTAGTTTTTATATTAGTTTTAAACTTTATTATTGTGAGCATGCTGATAGTATTTATTTTACTATTTATATTATACTATAAAGCGGTCTTCAACTACAATCTATTAATTATTATTATCATAAAATGTAGCCTTTGACAATTCTGAGAAAAAGACGAATCTAACGACATCTTAATCGCCTTGCGGGACAATCGGATAACAAACACTTTATATATGGATAACACCACATTATAACTAACGATTCGTTTATTAATAAGCAAAATAATTTATAAAACAAACAAACAAAGACAACTGTAGATTTTCTCTTATGATTAACATACGCGCCGCCGATACTTCTATACCATAAACAGCAATTTCACTTTCGCATAATACCATCCATCACTACTATGTAGTCCAACTGATACAGACGCAATGTCGACAGCGTTGTCAAACCGCGCTTTTGACCAGCGAGTCCGCTGCCATAAGCAACATGCGGAACTGCCTGGTCAGAGCGTGTCCCGGATTCGCTGCAAGATACGCCGTGATCTGTTTCTGCAACTCTCTCACCACGACGGGCAAGTGCTCTCGAGTCACTGGGTTGCTTGTGTCCAGGTTCATTATTGCTTCTTCAAGGTATCTGGAAAAAGCGAGACGATTTTATTAGTTGTACTCGGTAATAAATACTCAATAAATAACATTTTCAATGTTATTAATAATATTTTTAAAGTTATATTTAGCATTTTCAATGTTGTAACAACATTTTCTATATTCTATATCTTATATATAACATACAAATACTTGATTGTATACTACATACAAACACTTCAATGCATACTACACACAAGCACTTCTATGTATATAACATACAAATACATGAATGTATACTACATACAAACACTTCAATGCGCACTACACACAAGCACTTCAATGTGTACTACACACAAGCACTTCTATAACTTTTTTTTAGCAATCTATAACTTGTCGATTGTTATCATATTAGTAAAAAGAAAAGTATCGATAAACAATAACTGCACCTTGTGGCCGCCCTGTTTATTACTTTTATTATTTTCGCCATTTTGGAATTTGGAAGTTTGGCTTTCAGTTCACCTCAATTCTTCCAGAATACAGGCACAGAGTAAAGAAGACCAGAGGGGAAGCTTTCTAACAACGTCGAAAATCTATACCTATTCTGATAGGGTTATCACCTGATGCAAGTGTAAATTTGAAAGCAAAAATAAAAATGTGTTATTATGTTATTGTATAAAATAACATGTGTATTCATTGTAACTTAAGTTAATATAATAACATGTCTGTTTTTTGTAATTAAAATTGAAACTGCAAAAATTATATATTTTGCTTATTTTCATGCTTAGCTTCACATTACATATACATATCTATTTTCTATCAATATCATTTTCGTAAGACAATGTTTAATGTCCATGTCACACCTATGCCGGTAGTTGTTGGGAGCACTACGCTCGAAGTTGTTGACGAGTATGTTTACCTGGGACAAATAGTCCGACTAGGTAAGTCCAACTTCGATCGAGAGGTCAATCGACGGATTCAACTCGGCTGGGCAGCGTTCGGGAAGCTACGACACATCTTCTCGTCAGACATACCTCAAAACCTTAAAACGAAATTGTACAACCAGTGCGTGTTGCCAGTGATGACTTACGGAACTGAGACGTGGTCCTTCACTGCTGGCCGTATGAGGAAGCTCAAGGTCGCTCAGCGAGCTATGGAGAGGGCTATGCTCGGAGTTTCTCTGCGTGATAAACTTAGGAATGAGGATATCCGCAGTAGAACCAGAGTAACCGACATAGCCCAACGGATTAGTAAGCTGAAGTGGCAGTGGGCCGGCCATATAGCTCGAAGAACCGACAACCGATGGGGAAGAAAGGTTCTCGAGTGGCAGCCTCGTACCGGTAGGCGAAGTGTAGGGCGTCCCCCCACGAGATGGAGTGACGACCTGGTAAGACATGCAGGAAGTCGATGGATGCAGGTGGCTCAGGACCGTGCTTTGTGGCATTCTTTTGGGGAGGCCTATGTTCAGCAGTGGACTTGTGAAGGGCTGTGATGAATGAATGAAAAAAAGACAATGTATTCATGAGTACAAAAAATCAGATGGTATTAGTAATGACTGTGATGATGGTAGTGGGCAGTGGCTGTGTTGATACACCACCACCACCAACGTTACTACCAGGATGATGGTGGCGGTAGTAGGGGCTGTGGTGGGAATGCTGGTCGTGGTGGTAGTGCCACTGTCCACCACCACCACCAATGATACTACCACAATTACCGACACCATTACCAACAAGTACAGCACCACCATCCACCGCTACCAACACCGCACGATAAGCACCACCGTCCATCATTACTATTACCAGCACTTCTACCACTAACACTAACTGCACCACTGTCTGGCTATTGTATTATTTTCTCTCGAATTTTTCATATATACTGTACAACTTAGGCATTTAGCTTATACGAACACCAATTATCTAATATCTATATTTTATAGAACACCATCTCTTTACTTAACTCTAATTGTAAAAAAAATTAATAGATTTATTGATCTATAAAATCACGAAATATTATTCGTCTATTTGTTTCAATGCGCGTGACCAACAGCCCTTTCATTCACACTCTGACTGAGCCGGTGCAAACCGGTTTGTACCCTGACGGAGCGTCGGTGAACTGTCGGTGAGAGCTCACGCACACATCGCTGCGCTATGTGTGGGTGTACCCGATGGGAGGCGTTTGTATGTAGCTTCCCCTCTGGTTGTGTTAACAATTTTTACAGAAATATTTTTTTAATAATAGAAATTATTTAGAAAAAGCATAAAGTTGCTCTCTCTATCTCTCTTTCTTTTCACTAAATGTCAATAGAAAGAGACAATTAATACTTAAGTAAGTGATAATCAACAATATTAAGGATGTAAGAATTGTTAATTGATATATCTGTAGTGTAACATAATATTTCTATTCAATAGTATACAAGTGCTGCATGTTTTTTACTTTCTTAAATAGGTATGTTAACATGTTTATCTATTTTGTCCAAAACAAACTTTAATTAAAGTGCACTAAAAGTCAAATTAATAAGTTTTTATTTACTTATCACCTTATTTTCTGTTAAAGCCTATCAAAACTCCGCCGCTGAACATAAGTCTCCCCTTAGAATGCCATATTTGCCATAGTCACCACACTTGGCAGGCGGGTTGGCAACAGCAGTTTACTATGTTTCAGTTGCTAATAGAAAGACACAGCTGCCCATCTTATTTGTTAGCGTCTGTCGCCTCTTACTGACACCTACGACGATGCATAATTTTTATAATGAAACAGAGAGTTTAAAACAGTCTGAAGTCACCACACAATACAGAGCAGTACCTGTAATGATTTTTGTTACAAGAGTAAGTTTGGGTTGAATAATTTTGTATGTGGGTGATGTAAGGTTAATTGGTACTTAACGGCCTAAGCCCATTCCATCCCGTGGCTGTCGTAAGAGGCAATAAAGGGAAATGAAACAGGATATGGGCAGCAGCATCTTCCTAATAACAATTCAAAATAAAAGAAAACTGAGTTTGAGAGCCCACAAATGTAAGGCCCTATGAGGCAATCTATGGGGGAGGTCTATATTCAGCAATGGATTTTTTATTCCCTATATGAATAAATGAGAAAAATAACAAATAACTTTTAACTTGTTTATTTATTCTTGTATTATTAGATTTGCCGTAATTCACTGAGTTTCACTCCAATAAATAAACGCTTCAATCAAACTAAAGTTCTTACCAATTAAACCTTAACAGTTTCCCTGTCCGCGCAACACACACAATAGTTAAACAATTGCAATGTTCACATATGATTCATGGGACAGAGAAAGGGTTAAAAAATTAAGTTTTATGAAGAATTCCAACAATATGCATAGTCAATAACTTTTGCTATAGTTATTGGAATCAGTCTTTATACATAGATTATATGAAAAATATGTCAAATTTACGCCTATTACTTAACAAAAACTAACATAATATAGCAAAACCTTTGTTTCGCATAAAATTGAAGGCAGTCGAAATTAGCGCTTTGTTACATAACGCAAGCACATAAAACATAAAATTCAAAGAGTACACGTTTTCAGTTACATGTCATATCATAAATATCGCAAGTGACACGGTTTGTGAGCGCTTCCTAAGCCTCAACGGGTGCAGTAAATACTAAATAGATATACTTGGGATGATATGAAAGGCGGATGCGACGACAATGTTGCCGCTTCCCGATTGGTTCCTTGTTTTACCTATAAACTGTGATTGGTGCAAGTACTATACAATAAACACATTCACTAATTTCCAAATTGAAATTCGTCCAACAAAATTGTTCATCGCTAAAGAAAAGCCGTGCCGGCTTCTTTGCATAATCCATCCATATGCTATTAGCATTATATAAAAATTAAAAAAAAAACAGTCCCCTCAAACTTGTAAAAAAGAAACTAAAACTAATTATGTTACTGTAACCGGTGTTGATCAATTATAAACGAAAATAGGACACTGTTAATTAACCATACATCTATATTCTATTTTATTAATTAAACAAATTTACTTTTCTGACTAAAACTAAAAAGCACTAAATTTAATACAATGACACATTAATAAACTGAAATTATGACATTATAAAAATACAATCTAGGATTCTCAGACTAACAAAGAAAGATATACAGTAGTGTTCTATCTGTCTGTGCTGTACATATAGTGGCGATGTAGGAATATCCACTATACCAAATTTTCCAGGCACACAGACAGACAGAGGGAAACTAACCAGGAGATGGGCTGCCCATGTGGTTTAATTTCGTGCTCCTCTTTTTAACATCGGACAACCAAACATTTGGTGGGTCACCACCACTTTGTTATTGATATTCCACATGTTCGAACATGATTTGCTTCGTCTTTCGTAATGCGAAAAGCAAAGGAGATTGCAATTTGCCGACAAGAAGGAATAATTAGGCTAAATTTAACTTAATATTTTAAAAAGAAATTCAACTCTGTAAGACTCTATATCTATGAAAAGCATTATCATAACATTAATAATTACAGTGTAGTGGCGGTGTATGCACTACCCCATATCATCCCGTGGGTGTCGTAAGAGGCGACAGAGGGAAACAAATCAGAAGATGGGCAGTAGCGACTTCCTGATAACGACTAAAAATAAAAAAAACTGCTGGTGCAACAAACCCGTCTGCCAAGCATGACTGTGAAAAATATTACCGATGGTATACGGCATATCAGTGGTGGGTATATTCAATTGTCTAGTGTACTCAGTTGATAGGTGAGGACGTTCGAGCGCCAACAGTGGTGGGGTACGGACGTATTCGACGTTTTGAACTAATCATCATCATCATCATCATTACAGCCCTTCACAAGTCTTCCAAGGAACCTACACTTCGACCGCCGGTACGAGGACACCACGCGAGAACATTTTTCCCCATCGGTTGTCGGTTCTTCGAACTATATGGCCGGCCCATTGCCACTTCAGCTTACTAACCTGTTTGATATTTTATTACTTTTGAACTAACATTAAACATAAATTGTTGAAGTATTCGATAGTAATCGATAGTTTCTTATAAGACAATCGATATATCGATAGACTATCGATTGTCTTTGAGCAGGTATCACAAATAATAATAACAATAAGTAATTATTGCACTTTTTGTTTGCTCGTCTTTGAGAAATACGCAATTTGTCACTGGCTAGTGTAGAACTGTGAAGGAAATCACACAATAGGATTTGTCTTCATCAACTGATTTTTATTACCTAAAATAATTTTTAAAAGAACTACTAGATTTTTTTGGTTGCGATTCTAACCTATCTATTTTATCGGCATGTTTTCTTTTCAAGTGATCTTTTAGATTGGTCGTATTTCCAAAATAATTTCTTGATTATAAAAGTTACACATTACAAACGGACTATTATTGTCCACTATCTAGAAATAACTCCACCTTAATGATTGATTTTTAGGATAAATTTTCGATTCACTAAGAAGCCAAATACAAAACAAATCAGTAAACCATAAAACGCAAGATCAATCGCCCGTTCTAGCACTCGCACAAATAGTGACTTACGTCAGCGTCACACATATTAATTAGCTATTCACACACAGTTTATTTACAGGGATTTCTCTGGCCTTAGACTAAAGGGAGACATTTACTATAGACAAAAATTACGAAAAGGATGGCAATCGATAGTTTAACCAGACTATCGATTATTCGATAGTCTATCGATGTTTAAGGAACACTACAGTAAAGCAAAAATTCAGCAGGGGACTTTTTGTAGGCTGTAACAATAATGTCTATCTTTCTTTGATAGTCTGAACAAGGATAAGGTTAATTTTACAGCTTATATCACCATTTATAGTGGCAGTCCGTTTTATAATTAGTATTTATAACACTTACTATAAATCTTATCTTTTACAACTTTTAACATTAATATAATAATCACTTTTTATTACTTATAAATCAGCCTGTGTTACTGAGGTATAGTCAAGGCAATCACACATAAATTTTACACAACGATTCGTATTATGGTTACTGTATAAAATAATACATACCTACATAAGCAATGACGGCGCTAGTTAGGTAGACAATAACATTTATAGACAATTTATTGTATTAATTGAAAAAAAGAAACAATTTTTGAACGTAAATTTTATTTGTGAGTTTTTGGGGTCAATATGGTATTGACTTATGTCAATCTGTTTTAACTTATGATCAGCTTGAGGAAAGATTTCTCACATCTGTAAATACTATGAATATGCCCAACAATTCAACAACTAACTAATTTCCAATTAAAATACAAACAAAATGGCTGTTGCTGCAATACGCATGTCAAAAAAAATTTTTTTTTGATCTATCGAAAAGCTTTAATATCGTAACTTTGAAGATTAACGGACAGTAGTTTTTATATTAGTTTTAAACTTTATTATTGTGAGCATGCTGATAGTATTTATTTTACTATTTATATTATACTATAAAGCGGTCTTCAACTACAATCTATTAATTATTATTATCATAAAATGTAGCCTTTGACAATTCTGAGAAAAAGACGAATCTAACGACATCTTAATCGCCTTGCGGGACAATCGGATAACAAACACTTTATATATGGATAACACCACATTATAACTAACGATTCGTTTATTAATAAGCAAAATAATTTATAAAACAAACAAACAAAGACAACTGTAGATTTTCTCTTATGATTAACATACGCGCCGCCGATACTTCTATACCATAAACAGCAATTTCACTTTCGCATAATACCATCCATCACTACTATGTAGTCCAACTGATACAGACGCAATGTCGACAGCGTTGTCAAACCGCGCTTTTGACCAGCGAGTCCGCTGCCATAAGCAACATGCGGAACTGCCTGGTCAGAGCGTGTCCCGGATTCGCTGCAAGATACGCCGTGATCTGTTTCTGCAACTCTCTCACCACGACGGGCAAGTGCTCTCGAGTCACTGGGTTGCTTGTGTCCAGGTTCATTATTGCTTCTTCAAGGTATCTGGAAAAAGCGAGACGATTTTATTAGTTGTACTCGGTAATAAATACTCAATAAATAACATTTTCAATGTTATTAATAATATTTTTAAAGTTATATTTAGCATTTTCAATGTTGTAACAACATTTTCTATATTCTATATCTTATATATAACATACAAATACTTGATTGTATACTACATACAAACACTTCAATGCATACTACACACAAGCACTTCTATGTATATAACATACAAATACATGAATGTATACTACATACAAACACTTCAATGCGCACTACACACAAGCACTTCAATGTGTACTACACACAAGCACTTCTATAACTTTTTTTTAGCAATCTATAACTTGTCGATTGTTATCATATTAGTAAAAAGAAAAGTATCGATAAACAATAACTGCACCTTGTGGCCGCCCTGTTTATTACTTTTATTATTTTCGCCATTTTGGAATTTGGAAGTTTGGCTTTCAGTTCACCTCAATTCTTCCAGAATACAGGCACAGAGTAAAGAAGACCAGAGGGGAAGCTTTCTAACAACGTCGAAAATCTATACCTATTCTGATAGGGTTATCACCTGATGCAAGTGTAAATTTGAAAGCAAAAATAAAAATGTGTTATTATGTTATTGTATAAAATAACATGTGTATTCATTGTAACTTAAGTTAATATAATAACATGTCTGTTTTTTGTAATTAAAATTGAAACTGCAAAAATTATATATTTTGCTTATTTTCATGCTTAGCTTCACATTACATATACATATCTATTTTCTATCAATATCATTTTCGTAAGACAATGTTTAATGTCCATGTCACACCTATGCCGGTAGTTGTTGGGAGCACTACGCTCGAAGTTGTTGACGAGTATGTTTACCTGGGACAAATAGTCCGACTAGGTAAGTCCAACTTCGATCGAGAGGTCAATCGACGGATTCAACTCGGCTGGGCAGCGTTCGGGAAGCTACGACACATCTTCTCGTCAGACATACCTCAAAACCTTAAAACGAAATTGTACAACCAGTGCGTGTTGCCAGTGATGACTTACGGAACTGAGACGTGGTCCTTCACTGCTGGCCGTATGAGGAAGCTCAAGGTCGCTCAGCGAGCTATGGAGAGGGCTATGCTCGGAGTTTCTCTGCGTGATAAACTTAGGAATGAGGATATCCGCAGTAGAACCAGAGTAACCGACATAGCCCAACGGATTAGTAAGCTGAAGTGGCAGTGGGCCGGCCATATAGCTCGAAGAACCGACAACCGATGGGGAAGAAAGGTTCTCGAGTGGCAGCCTCGTACCGGTAGGCGAAGTGTAGGGCGTCCCCCCACGAGATGGAGTGACGACCTGGTAAGACATGCAGGAAGTCGATGGATGCAGGTGGCTCAGGACCGTGCTTTGTGGCATTCTTTTGGGGAGGCCTATGTTCAGCAGTGGACTTGTGAAGGGCTGTGATGAATGAATGAAAAAAAGACAATGTATTCATGAGTACAAAAAATCAGATGGTATTAGTAATGACTGTGATGATGGTAGTGGGCAGTGGCTGTGTTGATACACCACCACCACCAACGTTACTACCAGGATGATGGTGGCGGTAGTAGGGGCTGTGGTGGGAATGCTGGTCGTGGTGGTAGTGCCACTGTCCACCACCACCACCAATGATACTACCACAATTACCGACACCATTACCAACAAGTACAGCACCACCATCCACCGCTACCAACACCGCACGATAAGCACCACCGTCCATCATTACTATTACCAGCACTTCTACCACTAACACTAACTGCACCACTGTCTGGCTATTGTATTATTTTCTCTCGAATTTTTCATATATACTGTACAACTTAGGCATTTAGCTTATACGAACACCAATTATCT